CTGTCCATGCAGCCTTAACCACAACTCCTCTGGCTGTGACTGACAGCCTGAATTTAAAAAAAAAAAAAAATGGTTTCATATATTAACTTGCTTTATAAGTATTTATCTCCTGCTCTGTAAAATGAACTTTAATTACATACAGGAGACTCCTACAGAGTATAGCAAACTATTAACAGACCAGGAGATGAGAAATTCTAAATTAAACAAAATTGGCAATAAAGGAAGTTAAAACATTAGATGACTCTTTAGAGGAAGTGTTTAGGAAGGCTGTGCAAGTCACATGCAGGATGGTATGTCTAGGCCTGTATAAACATAGTGATTTAACTCCTAAATGGCAGAGAATTGAGCAGTGAGACTTCAGGGGCATGATCTATGCACCAAAACTGGTTCATTAAACTAAAGTTGTTTTGGTGACTATAGTGTCCCCTTAATACAATCTGAAAGATGTAATATCCAGAAATACACACACAAGAGTTTGTACTAGGACAACCTAATATAAATGCAGTACATACAACGGTGTGTCCCCTTTAACCCCTTAAGGACCAAACTTCTGGAATAAAATGGAATCATGACATGTCACACATGTCATGTATCCTTAAGGGGTTAAAGATCTAACAACATTAACCTTCAAAGAATAAACCCTGATGATGACTATCATATCTACAAACATAATGTAATACATGATATAATTTTTTCAGTTTACAAAGGAAAAGTATAATTAAGCAGGACATTTCAATTAGTAAAGGTAATGTATCAAATGCCTGGAGGTGTGAGAAATCAAACATACATTGAGCACCTGTGATGAACAAAGCAATTAACCTCATATAAAACTGTGCATGCGAAATGTCACATTTCAAGAAATACAGATTAAAACACTCTCTTTGAAATTAATTGGAAAATACAGTCAAAACAAAATACTTAAATTGAACTTCAGTACATTCATTTCAAAAAAGCATTTACAGCTTCCCTTTTTCTAAAATCGTGACAAAATTATAATTAGCATATCACAATTTGGTATATTAATGAGTGCAGGCAGTCTACTTCTTTATGGTAATGCCATGATTGTAATATAAATAACTATAAAAAAAAAAGATAAGAAAATAAATAATAATCATGTGTGGTGCAGGAAAAACTCTACAACATGTACGTCAGATCATAACGATAACCTCCAATGTTCTACCAAGCTTCAGAAAGGATGCTTGCAAAGTGTAATTCAAAGCTCCAGGCCCTTTTGACGCAGACTTTTAAGGGACTCTCTAGAATTAGGAATACAATCAAAATCAAAGCTAGAGTACATGCACGGCACAGTGCTAGTCTGCATCTCCTCTCAGAGAAGTATTGACTCAATGCATCTGGATTGGGAGCCTTAGCCAACTCTATACAGAGTGTAAAGACACCAAATATCGGTCCCACAATCTTTGCAGGACGGCATCCGGGAAGCCCTCCAAACTTTCAGGGATAGTGTCACGGCTCTCCGCAATTCTGTTGGCGTGGCCACACTGAAATATAGCAGCTACTCTGACAGAAAAAACAAATACTTACCTTGGTCGCGTCAAACCGCTGCCCGACCTCCTCCTATCCCGGTCCCTAGCGAGTATGGCGTTCCTACAGACTGCCGTTCCGGTTTTAATAGGAGACTTACCTCCATCCACATTAAAGATGGCGCCAACGTGCGTGCAACATCACGTCATAGATGTCACGTCACACATTTTGGGGTCAGAGGTCAGAAACAGCCAATTAGGAGGGTTATTTAAACTCACATTACCTTTTTGTCAGTGCCCTGTTGTGGTTTCCACAAGCTGGTTATCCGAGAGTGTGTTCCTGATCGTGTTTTATTTGACTTTGGCTTTGTTTTGACTTCCCTGATTTCTAGTATCCTTGACTTCTGGCTTTCCACCATCGTTGCATGTCATTCTGTGTCCCTGACCGTGGCAAGTATTTTGACTATTCTCCGGTACATTAGGTCCGGACATTCTAAGGTCTGGTTAGATGTTATCCTTAGTCCTAGATGTGATACTATTCTGTGTGCTGGATTAATTATAATCCTGACAGATAGTCTGTCTGCCCCAGCACCATTACATTACGTTGTAGCGCTTCTGCTGCTGCACTTTTACTTTTGAGTTTTTGAAAAGACAGGGTTATTTAGAAAAATAAATAAAGACTACTTTGGATTCCAAAGTAGATTTTTGGCAAAATAAGGTAAAGGACCTGGCTTCAAGCAGCTACATCCTCCACATTTTGTCATTTCCCTTCAGACGTTACTCACGGAACCTAGAGGAGGCAGTAAAGAGCAAGTTTGTTTGTTTTTTTTGCATAAAACTATACAGCTGGTAAACAAATATATCCTTTTATGATTCTGTCTGATACATTCTTCCAGCATAGATGATCAAAGTGTCCCTTTAAAAGTCAAAACATCACTATTAAAAAAAAAACAAAAAAAAAAAAACATTTATTTTTGTATTTTACTTTAGTCTTCTACCAAATACGATAATCTTTCTAAGCTGGATGTTAATTCATATAATCTCTTCGGTCATGTTGAATGTAAAAAGTTATTGCAATGGGTATACAAAGGTGGGTATTTAATAGTTCTTACCTTCTGGGTAGTGAGTGCTCTTTCACATCGAGTCTGTGCCATGTTTTCATCTCTTTCTACAAGACAAGACTTTAGAAAATCTTCGTTTTTTATAATTGCTCCTGTTTCATTATCATTCTCATCAGTGCTTCCTTCCTCAGCCTGAATAGCCAGCTCAGGTTTATTCAACAGAGAGCTGCAGAATTCACAAAATATATATTAAAAAAAAAAAAGGCGATAAGCATATTTTTAAATAAGTAGATAGGCAATCTAGTCTCTAATACAGCACTCCACTTACTGCAGGAATTCATTTGAAAATCTGAATTCAGCTGGAATAACTAACACAGCAAGACGAGTCTCTGTGTGATTCATGAAGTGTTAGGATTTAAATATTTACAAGACCTGTTTGTATTCCTTTAACTTCCTTTAGATACCCTAGTCTACATATGAAACAGATGCAATGAGGCTTTTTATTACACATTTATAATACACATCTTTTGGCTTGAGTTCCATCATATTTTAACAATGATTGTTGGTTTCTAGTAGTGCATTACATTCCGTACAGAGACTTTTGATGTTACACACAATATTATATATATATATATATATATATATATATATATTTATATATTAGGAGTAAAGAGTTACTCCAAGCATTATACCCACTATGGAGTACCCTGGCCCCATTCCCCAGTAATTGGGCAAACCATTATACAACAGTTTGCCCGCTCATCTACGTTTTGCCAGGCTCCAGGTTTCCTCTGCAGACAGGTTAACACAGGTTAACACATCCAACTCCTGCAAAGCTGGACACTGATCCTACTGGACACTTATTGGCTGAGATCGTCAGCCGACAACTCTCACCCAATGAATGACATCCTGAGGATAAACACAGAATTGACACAAGCCAGCATAGAACTCATGTTCTGGGATAGCTAATGATTCATGAATGATGCTGATGAGATGAAGTAGGAAAAGAGGTTACTATGTATGCACAGTGTTTCATAGTGAAATGCTGCACATACAGATATCAGGACCATGAAGTGACCATCGTGCTTGGCGTAACCCTCCCGAATGTCATCCACATTCAGGAATCCAGTAAATAATGAACTTTTGTGGTCCTCTAGTCAGAAGCAAGCAGATTAAAATCATACAGGCAGCTCCTGGCTGCATCATTCCCATATCTCCTCTGACATGAAAGTAAACTGGGGAAAGGAGAACCCCGTTGTTGCCACGCAACTTGGTGACCAGGCTTTTATCAGCACAGCTGACGACATGGAAGATAAAATAGAACAAATATAAAAATAAAACATGTATACGCAAACATCAGACATGTAAATCACTGTAATACTTTAATTACACTTAAACTCTTTTTAATATTGTAATTATTAAATTAAAAAAAGGAATGTCTATGTGTATATCATAAGGCTTTTGTTAATTTTAGAACTGCAGAGACTTTACAGACCACACGATTGTAGTACATGTGGCTGTTTGGAATGCAACATATCCTTGTATGTGGAGACCATAGATCAGGGGTTCTCAACGTTAGTCCTCAGGACCCCTACCAGTCCAGGATTTGGGGATTACCTGGGTGTGTCTCAGGTGTTTAGAAAAAGGGGAAAAAAACACCTTAGACTCTAAGGTGTTTTTTATTTCTTTTTCTAAACACCTTAGACACACCCAGGTAATCCCTAAACCCTGGACTGGTAGGGGGTCCTGAGGACTAACGTTGAGAACCCCTGCCATAGATCATAGACTTTTACAGAACTCTAATATAATGCATGAGATACTTGAGACATTTCCTTTTATGGATTTACTTAAGGTTTGTTATACCTGCTTCAAGCTTTTTTATATATACTCTATAGCTTACATCGACACGGGACTGTCCTTTTCCACAGATCTTAGAGTCATCCAGTGGTTCTTAGATTTTTGCTAATAATTATAGGTAGTTCATTGAAGTATTTTCTTCTACTATGTCCATATCACAAACTTGACTAAAAGAATTAGTTAAAACGAAATACTGACATCAGGATGCCCTTCAAGCCTTTGATACCTTAAAACATAATCTTGCATCTGAGATAGAGGTTGAAGTGTTATACCACAATAAGAGGCATATGACAGACCTCTACATTTGTTTGAATTTTTTTTAGAAGACTTATGATATAGGCAAGTAAGAATTGTGAGCTATTATCCTTGCTCAAAGGAATGGAGACACTTACTCAAAGGTTCTGATGCTCCAATTGTGATTTTCACAAACATCAAGAACATACATACATTAGTAAAGCCAAACACTTATCCTCCTGGTAGATAACGTGGCCTTTGTTTCTTTTTAGTAAGAAGGTACCTATACAGAGCATGAAACATTAAAGCAGTATACCTATATCCACCACCATTCTTTCTTCTTCCATCCTTGAGAATCCAAGAGCAGAGATAGTTGTGGAGATCCAAGGATAACCAGCTTTTGAGCGTTTTATGAGATGCCTATTATTAGGAGCATAAAACTTTCAAAAGCTGGTTATTCTTGGATCTCCAAAACTATCTCTGCTCTTACCAGGCAGTTCCGGCAGACAACCACACCCAATGAAACTAAAGACTACAGAAGTGTTCTGCTTGTGCTCATTGTTAAGTTCCACACAAACTTTTTGCACAAAATGGTGCACTTTGTTCTTTTTGCCCAAGCTACTCACCTCCTCACCATTCACCAGAGTAGTGCTTACATTACATAGTATACCTCTGGATGTAGTTTCTAAAATAGGTAGGTATCAGGCAGTCTTTCTTCTCTATTTACCATTTCCAATCCAATCGAGCTGCGAAGCATGTACAGCGCAAGCATGTGTCACACTGGGATACAAAAGCAGAATAGTTGGGAGTTCTGCTGTTGCGTAGCCCTCTGCAAGTTTAACCCCTTAAGGACACATGACGGAAATATTCCGTCATGATTCCCTTTTATTCCAGAAGTTGTGTCCTTAGAGGGTTAAAAGGTAATCCAGACATGGACCCTTTGCTCACGGTGCCTAGGGTGATATCGGTTATACCTCATTAAGGAGGACTAACAAGGCCGAAACATTCATCTGGGATTGCTGTATCTCTCATGCTGAGAGAGCCGGCCTGAATTTTGGACTGCAATTTTGTATGAAAACAGTCTAATATGCAGATGGCCTAGGTTCTCTTTGTAATGTCATAAGATGAGCTAAAACCAACTTGAGATCTGAGTGGGGATCCACCGAAGGGCAAGTGTTACACACGCCCTACAGACCAGCCCTGGTTCTCTCTACTTTATGTTACCGAATGCCGTTCCCTTCGGTACCCTTGTTGTATAAATTCCATTACACAAACCATCAGGATCTTATATTCACACATACGAAGTAAAACCACCCAGGCCCTGGCGTGTGCCGCCACTTAACCTTTTTCACCTTGCAAACAACCGAACGGCCGACCACCAGGAACTTGCGGTTTGCGGTTAACTACAAACGTAATTGATGGGCCCCAGGGTGGCCTCGTTCGTATACTACTTTTCCGCACTCAAGCTCCTGAATGAGGACCTCCCTGTACTTCGGCGTGTGTCCCCAATTAAAACGTTGGGGCTGCGGTTAACCGCAGGCTAATTGCTCATTCAGGGCAGTCTGCGTTCGGTCCACGAAGGGCTGAGACAACCATCCCTATTTCCTATGTAAATATATATATACAGCCCTGTTAGTAATAAACAGTTATGTTCACATATATTCTTATCTGCTGTCACATTCTATATATATAATAAAACCAGCTTTGCTAATAAACAATGACAAAGTAGATTAAATGTGCTTCAATAACATTAACATACAAGTCAATTTACCTGGCAGCCGGGCCACACTTGGTAGTCAGATTACAGAGCTGTGATATTTACTAGCCCTGCTCACAGGCTGGCTTTTAAGCATTACTGAGTTCAGCCAGCTCTATTTTTCTAGTATATGTTAAGAAAATTCCTGAAATCATAGCTGCCAACAGTGATGCATCATGTTAGCCGTGATACATAGTAAAACTGTTGAAAAGAAAAGTTCTGAGACCTTTGCATGTGATAAAAGAGACCAGATCAGCTCTATGACACTAAGAGAGCCAATCGGATCTCTCTTATTCCTGCAAGATATTAAAGGGACACTGTAGGCACCCAGACCACTTCAGCTCATTGTAGTGGTCTGGGTACAGTGCCCCTATTGCACTTAGTGCTGCAATGTAAAACACTGCAGTTCCAGATAAACTGCATTGTTTACATTGCAGCACTAAGTCTGCCTCCAGTGGCTGTCTATAAGACAACCACTGGAGGAACTTCTTGGATCCTAATGGACTTTTAGTCTAGTAATCGATGCTGGACGTCTTCACACTCTGCCTGAGGACATCCAGCGTCAGCTATTTTGCCATAGGAAAGCATTAATTCAATGCTTTCCTATGGGAAGGCATTATGTGTGCGTGACACTCGCTGCACTTGCACATTAGCACCCGCACATCGACGGATGTTGGAAAAGGCGGTGCCGCAATCCACTGGGATCAGGTAAGTAACCCTTTTTTACCGCAGCATGACCCAAGGGAGGGGAGGGCAGAGGTGATGGCCCTGAATGACCCTGGTAACGGCCCAGGAGATGCCATGTCTACAGGGTCCATGTAATGATTACCCATCACCTGAGGCATACTGTCTCTTAGCCCTAGCCATTCCTCCAAAATATGTCCTCACCTACCCCCTCACATTTATTATAGTGAAACGGCCAAAGAATCTAAAAATATCCTGTTAAAAAATATAATACTATTTGAACATCATTGCTCCTCTGGCCCCACAACACGGCCAAATTAAAAACCATTATATCCTGCTGAAACTGTTTACAATAGAAAAGACACAATCCATAAAATGACAAAAAAAAAAATTAACAAACAAATAAAACCCAATATACAAAAATATCCATATGCAAGCAGACTACCAACAAATCAGAGCGCTCTGATAGGCAAATCTTCCTTTCCCCAGATGCATAGATATACATCTATACATATTGCATTGCCAGGCAAGTCTTGTAAGAAGCTGCAGTGCTGAAGGGTCAATTGCATTGCTGTAGCTAGCCTAGGGAGCTACTGAATAACCTGGTCTCAATATGGCATAACATTTACAGATGTAAAGGGGCTTTAAAAAAAAAGAATAGTGAATAGTGAATAGCAACTAGCTTTGGAATTTCTATGGTTTTCTATGGAGCACTTGCAGTCTGACCAGAACTTTTACTAATTGCCATCACTATAAAATGAACGCTCTAGTAAACAAACTGACAGAAAATGCACAATATTACTTGCATTGAAATAGTTATAATTTCCTCTGGTAGCATGTATTTTTCAATAAATCTTATAACTTTAAAGGGTTATTTCAAGCAGCATGATTTCTTCAAAGATTTAAAGTGGTAAAGGTTCCGTGCTCTCTAATGTCAATTCTGTGCATATTACTATGCACAGAATTGCATTCATTGGTTGAGAGCGGTCAGCTGACACTCTGGTTGAGAGCAGTCAGCTGTATTGATTCTGACTTCTACAGAAGTCTAATAATGTCACCTGCTAGAGAGGAGACTACAAGCCCAGTGGGAACCCAGGTAAGAGGGAAATGGGACCAGGCACTCCATGTATCATAACCAGTATGGCGAGCTGTATTCATGATGATGCTTGGAGAAGCCTTTTAACGAGAATACAATGAGTACCATGTTAGATATCCAGGTAAAATGATAACAGACATGAGAAAAATGTTGTCTTTGACAACAAAATGGTGCTTTCTATTTTTCTGACAAACAGTATACACACTATACAAAGTTGGAGTTAAAGACCATATATTAGGGAGAGGTCCCAGGTGTACCTCACTAACACCTAAAATACATATAATTAAAAAAAAAAAAGGAAGTCCCCTTTTGTTGGACGAAACGCGTTGGACAGATGCTTTAAGTTTATGTATGCTGCTATATTACATTTTATTTTATTTCATTTTATAATGTATTTTTATATGTAGTTTTTATTTTTTATTCTGCCTGCTTCATTGAATCTTCTATTGGACTTCCTTCTGCATCGTTTTGGGAGTTCCATGTTATATGGAGATATGCCTACTATATTTCTTCACTTGTAAGTGAGACCAATAAATATAACTTTGTAATTTGATTACATGCTTCACTATATTTGGTTCTTTATTTTGCATATATCCCACGGAGGACCTTCTATTCATCACATTGCTACCCCTGGGAGGGTGAGAAGCCTGATTTCATGTCTGTTTGTGAGTGCACTTATTTCTATTAAATATCACTCACCAATTTAATACTGTATTACGCTATGTCAGTTTTTTAATTCTTTGTGCAGATTCCGTTTATGAATCACGACCTATACTTCAGGTTATTTGTATATTTTTTTCTATACCACCACGTATTGGGAGGTGTTTCCACTTTGTTTCTTAATTTTTCTATTTTTCTGCTCTGGCAAATAAGTGTCTGACTATGCACCTTATAATATACATAAGCATATATGATATGTTTACTTATGGTACATGCATAATGCACTGGTTATATTTTATATTGTTTAAAAGGTCTGTCATCTATAAAAGTATTGAGGAATTCATGTTTTTCCAGAGAAAAATAGACAATGATTTTCCAAAATGTTTAAATTTGTCCACAAAGAAGACTGGCATAATTAACTACTTTTCTAAACACTACATTTAAATGTGTAATTGCTGACTAGATCCATTTATAAACTATATGATTAAATGAAAATATATTGAAACATCTGTTGAATGCAAATGCATTGCCAATCAAACAGTTAATATAAAGTTGAATCTCAATAGACAAGGTTTCCACAATCCTTTATTTTACTCTATATAAATAATCTGAACATTGGACTTTGGACCTTAAGCGGGAGTAGAAGCACATTTAAAGGGACACTATAGGAACCCAGACCACTCCATCTCATTGAAGTGGTTTGGGTGCAGTGTCCCAGTTCCACTCAGTCACGCAATGTAAATCATTACAAAATTACATTGCAGAACTAAGACTGCCTCTAGTGGCTGTCAATCGGACAGCCACTAGAGGCATTTCCCGGTGGCTAACTGACTTTTGGTCACCTGACGCTGGACGTCCTAGAGCTCTGCATGAGGACATCCAGCGATAGTTAAATGCCCATAGGAAAGCATTTGAGAAAGGGCCTAATGCGCTCGTCTTGAAATCGGTTCAGTGTTTCAATGGTTATTTAACCCTTGCAGTGCCTGCGTGGAAGGACATGAATGGGGGCTAGGTGGAACTAGTTAGGAATACAGACATGTATTTCTAACACTATAAAATCCCTTTAAACGAAATCTCAGAAATCTGGTGATTTTCAACTTGTCTTATTTTTGTGCTGGTTCAATAATCACAACAATTCAGATTTCCTTTCAAACACCTGAGAAATGAGCAAAGCGCATAACTTTTAAATTTTTTATTTTATTTCTGTGAAATGCTGAATAAGAAAAACTTGTAAAACTATTGAGGTAGGAATAGCCTGCCATCTACTGGAGCAATGTATATT